AAACCCATGTGGTTCAGTAATGTCCTGGAGGGAAGCAAACTGCTATTCTTACTGGTCTGGCCTGTGTGTGACTCAAGACCCAGACCAATGTGGTTGACTCTTACCTGCCCTCTCGGCGATTAGGCAAGGGCAACAAACATCCCTCGAATGAATAGGTCACAGCTATTGAGTAGACGTGATGGAAGAAATAGTGATAGTTGTCGTCCACGAGCCTCTGTGGGAGTCACATGCAGTGACAGAGTTAGAGTGGTGGCTCTGTGAGATAGCAGAGAGAAGATAGTGACACTTATCCCAGTGGAGCACAGAGTGTCATTATCCTTCATTCTTCACTGTTGCGCATTCCATTTCATTCAAGACACTGGGCTGCTAGAATCTAATGGCACGGCCAGATACAGCATTGTCTTCTCCACCACCTCACCCACCAGCAATTCCATGTCCCTGTCAGCTAACTGAAGAACTAATTTACTTTTCTGGGCCAAATCCATGAGGAAAGTGGTGCAGAATCACAGTGTGAACAGTAGCTCCTCATTTGCAGCATCTGAAGTGATGTGGAGCTGGGGTTTAAAAGCGGTGCCATTGGAGCGAATTGTGCAATGACCTGTTAGCAGCGAGTACCTCTGCCTCTCCTCCTGTATGATTCTGTGGGACGGGTATCAAAGAGGCCGGTAGTATAATCAATGAGATTAAAAGCAGAAGAGTGCCTAAAAAAAGTCAACACAGGCCATAGCAGCCTCATAACTGTTTTAAAATTAGGGTTCTCCCTAATTCTCATGATTGTGCAAATTTGGATGCCGCTACATCAGAATGCATTGGAAAGGGGGTCATTGAATGTATTTAAGACAGAGGTCAATAGATTCTTGTCAGAAAGGGGATTCAAAGCTTATTGATGAAAGATGGGAATGTGGAATTGGGAACACAAATAGATCAGCTGGGATCATAGGGAATGGTGGAGCAAGCTCGAGGGGCCAAATGACAACCTGCTGCTCCTAATTCATGTTTACAATCCCTGCACCAACCATTCTTTTTCCAGTCTTTCTTCCCTCATGGCAACCAACCAAGTTTGAGAACTCTGGCTCACAACGACGATCTGAGGTGCTCTCAGATAAACTCATAAAGCCTGCTGCTGCCTTCCCAGATACAACCCAAACTGCACACATTCCCTTCTCTTCCCTTCACCAGGAATGAACCATATGTTTGTCTGCTGTTCAATCCACCCTGCAATGCTGCTTCTTACTCCGCCAGTGTACCAACACCAACCTGAGTTCAAATCTCACTATTTACCTTCCCCAGCTTTCATGGTGTCAGTGAAATAAATCTGGAATAAAAGGCTGGTATCAGTAATTTTGAGAATGATCTGAACTGATTGTCATAAAAACACGCCTAGTTTACTAATATTTCTTCCAGAAGGAATTCTACTGGCCTTACTGGGTCTGGCCGCTGCATAACTCTTTACAAGCAACAATGTGAAATTTAGAACTGGAACTTACCTTTTATTTATAGGCACACACATGACAAATGGCGAATCAAGAAACAACCATTTTAGCCCTTGCCCAGATATACGCAGTTAACACCCACTATCTGAGTATTATTGAAGACCCAAATAATATAAAATTGGTTGACCTCAATACAGTGGCTTACCATGACCTGCTGCATAAAATGAATTCTTCCTCATATTCCTCGGCATATATCTTGACCAAAACCTTAAATCGTTGTCCCCCTAGTCTATGCATAATTAACTTTTTTTTAAATTCACTTGTGGACGTGGGCTTCACTGGTTGGCCAGCATTTATTGCCGATGGCGAAAGAACAGCAATAAATTTCCAAGTCAGGATGGTGAGTAGCTTGGAGGGGAATTTGCAGGAGCTGGTGTTCCCATGTATCTGCTGTCCTTGTTCTTCTAGATGGAAGCGGTTGTTGGTTTGGAAGGTGCTAAGGATCTTTGATGAATTTCTGCAGTGCATCTTGGAGAAAATGCACATGCAGACTGGATGACCACTTTGAGGAACATCTTCGGTCCGTGCGCAAGCATGATCCTGACCTTCCCGTAGCTGGTCATATTAACACAGCATCCAGCTTGTATGCCCACATGTCTGTCCTCGGCATGTTGTAGTGTTCCAATAAATCACAGTGCAAGCTGGAGGAATAACATCTCATCTTCAGTCTAGGCATTATACAGCCTTCTGGACTTAATGTTGTGTTCAACACGTTCAAATTGTGAACCAACTCAAATTTTTCCCCTTTCTTTTAGCTTGTTGCATTCTGTTTTCATGTTCTCTCTCCCCTCCTCCCACCCCAGTGCGACTATCTGTCCTTTCAAGTCTGGCAGGAGACAGACTATTGTTCTGCCATTCCATAATCTGATTGCTTAATCTGGACTGTCAATATCTTTTCTCCATCAGTGCCCTACACCCATTACACCCACACAGCACCCCAACCTCAAACTACAGCACAAATACTGTACCCTCTGCACTTCAATTGAGCTCTGATGAAGAATCATCTCAATGTTGACTTGCTCTCCCTCCATGGATGCTGTCTAACCCACTGTGATCTCCAGCATTTGTTGTTTTCGTCCCTCCAAGTTTGGCGTCATTCAGAAATTTTGCTCTGCATTCTGAAATCCAATTCACAAAAACACAAAGGTCACAGCATTGAGCTTTGGGAAAATGACTGTTATCCACCTGCTAAGTCTGTAAACTATCCATTTCCCACAGCTCACTCCTCTCTGTCATGAGGCTACCTTTATTTTTAATCCTGACAAGCTTAGAATGATCTTTCTATTCCAGGAACCTCAACTGTGCTAATTGTGTTACCTTAGCAAATTGGGGTGTGAACCATCAGGACCAGGTGGCTTATCGACTCCGAGCATCCTTTCCAGGACATCCTCCCTATCTGTTTGCACTCTGTCTGTGACTTTTACCCTCTCCATTCTATCGATACATTGTCAGCATCCTTCCCTTAGTGCACACAAATACAAAATACTCATTAAGTATTTGAACCTTGTCCTGTGTCTCCAGGCATATATAACACTCTTGTTCTGAATTAGTTCCATCACAGATTTACTACTTGCTTGCTATTTATTTGTCAGTAAAAGATTTTTAGGTTTCCTTTCATAGAAACATATAAAATATGAGCAGGAGTAGACTTTGGAGCTTCAAGCCTGCTCCACAATTCGTTATGACCATCGTTGATAATTCAACTGAATAATCTGTTCCTGCTTTTCCTCCATATCCTTTGATCTCTTTAGCCCCAAGCGCGACAACCACCTCCTCCTTGAAATAAAATTTATTCATGGGATGAGAGCATTGCTGGCTAGGTCACCATTTATTGCCCACCCCTATCTGCCAAGAGAGCAAGTATAAGTCAACCACATTGCTGTGTCTGGAGTCACATATAGACCAGACCAGATGAGGATGGTAGATCTCCTTTCCTAAAAGATGTTAGGGTTCTAGAAGGGTTTTTACAACTTTGTAATGATGGTCACCATGAAGTTAATTTTTTGTTTAATTTAAATTTCACCATCTCCTATGGCGCATTTGAGACTCATGCCCCAGAACATGAGGTTCAGGATTATTAAGCTAGTGACAATACCATTACATCTCTGCTTCATGTTATCTGATGTCCGATTTTAATCTCCCTTTGCCAATTGCTCCATCATGTTCTCTCATCTTGTTTTCTTCTGGTGTGGAATGTGAGCTTTGCAATCATGAGCATTTGTCACCCATCCTTAGTTGCCTTTGAACTGATGAACTGGTTCTTAATTGCCCTCTGAAAAGTCCAAGTGAGCTGTTGCTGTGGGCCTAGAGTCACATGTAGGTCAGACCTCTGGGTTAGGATGGCAGATTTTCTCCACAAAAGAGTATTCGTGAGTTTGATGGGTTTTTACAGCAAGCAAATGCTTCAATGGTCACCTTTAGGTTCGCTTTTAGCACCACATATTACTGAATTAAAATTTCACCATCCGCCATGGTGAAGAACATTATCCTGGATCCCTGGATTTGTAGTACAGTGACATTATCACCATGTCATTGCCTTCCCCCATACCACATTCAGTCTGGTTCACATGTGAAGAATTCACCTGACATCATTTATACATGCTCTTTAATTTTGTTTCATCATCTTCTCTCCCTCCCTCACATTCCTGGAAGTCCTGACTGTGGTTTCCTGACCTTATGTTCTTGTTGGAATGTCCACAGCCTGGACCTGAAGTATCTTCCAGGACAGATATTCCTATTAGTCATTGATATAATTTTACTTTGACAAGATCCCCTGTCATCCCATTCTAATTGACCCTCGTAGTAGGTCTGCTTCAGCCTGTTCCTTGCTCTCATCCATTGCAAATCTAAGACTCATGTTACCCAAATGTTTCCCATGGACACATGGTCCACTTTGCCCATGTCATTTCCCAGGCTGGATCCAGTAATTCCTTATTCCTCGTTGGACAAAATACATATTGGTCAAGAAAGGTTATGAGAACATTTCGCAGAAATCCCTCCCCATGTTTCTCCTTTATGTTAACATTATTCCAACTGATGTTTGGGGAATGAAATCCCCCCAGTATCACCACTCCTATTATTTGGTCTCTGTTTCGATCATACTCCCTAATTTTTTTCTTTTTTGGTTCTGAGTGTAATTTAAAGTCATGTATGTCAAATATCCTGCACTTGCTGAAATGGAAGTTCAAGATTTTATGTAGCTAAGAATTACAGAGTTATAAATATTTAATTATGAACGAATTGACAATGTAGATTTTACAATATATCAAATTCTAGTCGTCGTTTCAAGGAATGAGCTGCTTCGAGTGCCCTGTATGATTAAAAGTGCACACGATGTCTCTCTGAAGCCACCTCCAACCATCCTCTGTATTGCAACGGTATGCATAAATTTTCATTCAAGAGTCACACATTCTAGCAATAAAATAGGGTCACATTGGGAAAAGCAATGGGAAATGCCAGTATGCTTGTACAATATCATTGTATAATTCACTGCTGTTTACTTCACAGGTGATATCTTCCCTGCCGTTCCTGTTTGGCTGGCACCATTGCTTGTGACCATTTGTCTTCTGATTGTAGGCATTTCTGCTTTGATTTATTGGAATATGAAACAACATTCACACATCAAAGGTATGCCCTCATAACAGTGAGAAACTACAATATAGATACAGGCCTGGAATTCCAGTGGGTTTTCCTTGTCTCCTGCTGTGAACTTGTGAAATCTGGATGCACCCCTGGACAATTCACTTTAAAGCTGTGATTCAAGGGATATTTCTGCTGATTTCCCAGTGAATTTTGGCACGAGTTAAGAAGAATCCCATGGAATTTCAGAATGATAGAATTATACCTGAAGAATATAGAATCTGGGCATTGTGGCCGCTGCTCAGGCTACAAGTTGTCCCATCCATTAAATCCCAGAGCCAGGATAGAGATGAGTGCAGGAGGCTACTGTGGTGGGATTGGGAAGGTTGACCTTGTGGGTATGAAGGCGCTTGACAGAGAACCTGTGGAGGTGGTCGTGGGGAGGGAGAACATAGGCAATCCCCTACTCCAACCCCTTCCATCCCCCCACCCAGCCATTTACCCAAGATCTCTGGGCTTTCCAATAGCCCTGTCCTCCTACTGGTTACTTCACCAGTTGGGATGAGGGTAGCAGCTGCCCTAGGTCCTACCCACACCTTGTAAAGTTGAAGACAATAGAAAGGCCAACTGTGTAATATGAAAACAGCTAACCTCGCCTTCCCAACACCCGCCCGCTGCACCCTCCACCAACCACCTGCACACCTGCCATTGGGGGCCTGTTAAGTTCTTTCCTGAGTTTATTTCAATATTACATGTTTGGGCTGCTGCTACCCCCACCCCACAAGAAGGAGATGGGGGTTTGCGGATAAATCTCAAAGTGACAATAAAGGAATAGTTCAACTCCCAACTGTCTGCACAATCGAAAACTCTCCTGAATTTTCAGTATTTGTGATAAGCCTCCACCCTGCCATAGTCAGCGGGAAATTCAGAAGCTAATTTGTAAAGAAATCTGAGTCATCTGTAAGAATAATAGGGTTGCAATGGTAGGGGATTTTAATTTTCCAAACTGAGACTGGAACTGATATAGTGTCAAGGGCTTGGAGAGGAATTTAAGTGTGTACAAGAAAATTTTCTAATTCAGTATGTGGATGTACCTACCAGAGAAGTAGCATAACATGACCTTCTCTTGGGAAAAAAGGCAGGGCAAGCGACTGAGGTGTCAGTTAGGGAGCACTTTGGGACCAGTCTAATAATTCTATTAGTTTTTAAATAGTTATGAAATAGGATAGACCTGATCAAAAGTTAAAGTTCTAAATTGAAGGAAGGCCAAATTTGACGGTATTAGGCAAGAACTTTCAAAAGGTGATGGGGGAGGCTATTTGCTGGTAAGGGACGGTTGGAAAGTACAAGGCCTTCAAAAATGAGATCATGAGAGTCCAGAGACAGTATATTCCTGTTAGTGTGAAGGACAAGGCTGGCAGGTGTAGGAATGCTGGGTGACTGGAGGACAGCAGGAGTATACTCAAGAGGGAAATCTGGAGGGCAAAAAGGGGACATGATGTAACTTTGGCAAAAAGGGTTAAGGAGAATCCAAAGTGATTCTACGAAACATTAAGGACAAAAGAGTAACTAGGGAGAGAAAAGAGCCCTTTAAAGATCTGCAATGGAAATGGAGGAGCTACTAAATGAGTACTTCGTGTCAGTTTTTACTGTGGAGAAGGATATGGAAGCTAGAGAATGTGGAGAAATAAACAATGATTTCGTGAAAAGTGTCCATATTTCAGAGGAGGTAGTGCTGGAAATCTTAAAATGGCATAAAGGTGGATAAATCCCTGGGACCTGATTAGGTATATCCCAGACTTTGTCAGAAGCTGGGAAAGTGATGGTTGGGCCCCTTCTGAGATATTTGTATCATCAATAGCCATGGGTGTGGTGCCAGAAAACTGGAAGTTGGCTCATGTGGACCCATTATTTAAGAAAGTTAGTAAGAAGTCAGGGGACTATAGACCAATAAGCTGATGTCAGTGGTGGGTAGGCTGTTGGATGGGATTCTGACGGACAGGATTTACATGTACTTGGAAAGGCTAGGGCTGATCAGGGATAGATGACATTGTGTGTGGGAAATTGTGTCTCACTAACTTGATTGAGTTTTTTGAAGAAGTGACAAAGAAGATTGATGAAGACAAAGCAGTGGACATTGTCTATATGGACTTCAGCAAGACATTCGACAAGGTTCCACATAGTAGACACTTTAGCAAGGTTAGATTACATGGAATCCAGGGAGACCTAGCCATTTGGATAGAAAATTGGCTTAAAAGTAGGAGACAGAGGGTGGTGGTGGAGGGTTGCTTTTCAGACTGGATGCCTGTAACCAGTGGTGTACCACAAGGATCGGTGCTTCATCCAGTGCTTTTTGTCATTTATATAAATGATTTGCATTTAATATCGGAGGTATGGTTGGTAGGTTTGCAGATGACACCAAAACTGGTGTGCAGTGGACAGTGAAGAAGATTATCGCAGAGTGCAACAGGACCTTGATCAGATGGGCCAATGGGCTGAGTGGCAGATGGATTTTAATTTCGAGAAATGTGAGGTGTTGCATTTTAGTAAGGCAAAATCAGGGCAGAACTTATCCACTTAATGGTAATAGCTTCGGGAGTGTGGCTGAACAAAGAAACTTCGCGGTGCAGGTTCATAGTTCCTTGAAAGTGGATTTGCAGGTAGGCAGGATCATGAAGAAAGCATTTGGTGCACTTGCTTTTATTGTTCAATGCATTGAGCAGAGGAGTTGGGAGGTCATGTTCAGCTCTACGAGACATCGCTTAAACCACTTTAGGAATACTGCATTCAATTCTGGTTTCCCTGCTATAGGAAAGATGCTGTGAAACTTGAAAGGATTCAGAAAAGATTTACAAGGATGTTGCCGGGGTTGGAGGATTTGAGCGAGAGAGAGAGGCTGAAGTTTCCAGTAGCATTGGAGGCTGAGGAGTGATCTCAAAGAGGTTCATAAAATCATGAAGTGTATGGATAGGGTGAATAGGTAAGGTCTTTTTCTCAGGGCTGGAGAGTCCAAAATTAGAGGACATAGGTTTAAGGTGAGAGGGAAAATATCGAAAAGGGACCGAAAGGGCAACTTTTTCACACAGAGGGTGGTGCATGTATGAAATGAGCCGCTAGAGGAAGTGGTGGAGGCTGTTACGATAACACCATTTAAAAGGCATCTTGATGGGTACTTGAATAGGAAGGATTTAGAGGGATATGGGCCAGATGCTGGTAAATGGAACTAGATTAGTTTAGGCTGTCTGGTAGGCACGGATGAGTTGGACTGAAGGGCCTATTTCTGTGCTGTATATCTTGATGAGTCGATGACTCTAACCTGTTAATTCTCCATTTTTCCAGTTCTGATGAAAGGCATTAACTTGTTTCTCCCTCAACAGATGCCACCTAACTTGCTGATATTTCCAGCAGTTTGTGTTTTTAATTTCAGATTAAAGCATCTACAATATTTTGCTGTTGATTAATGAAGTCATAGCTTCTAATTTTCAAATTGATGTTTCTCTTGTATTTTTTCAGAATTAGAACTTCGGAAATTTATCGTAGAACACGGTAAGAATTTAACACTGAAATATTTACAAATTTCAAAGGAACTTTTTTTTGGATTAATTTCAAATTTAATGAATTACGTTCACATTTATCTGTTAGGATCACTTAAGTATACACAATGATGACATGACAATGCTTTGAACCAAAGGCTTAAAACTGATCTCCTTAAAATCTATAGAACACATTTCACTGTATAAGGATAAAAGAAAAATGTTCAACATTTGAATTAAATATATTTGGCAAAATTTTCCAAGATCTTGTGCTGCCTCAGAGGCCTCTGAAACAACAAACAGTAAATTGTGAGTGACTCCAGTGAAGCTCAAGAATGCCCATAGTTCACTAATCTCACTCCTGTATTTCCCAGAGAATTAATTTGCTCCTCTCTCCCTAACTTACATTGGGAATATAATTTGTGCGAACCTGTGGGCTCTTTTTGCTATATGCCTATAGGAATCTAGATAGTATTTGAACATATTTCATTTGGAAACTTGATATCCAGCAGAGGATAGAGACTTGCATCCAGATCCCAGATTTAAAAGAATTGTGCCTCCCACTGTAACAATTGGACAGATCTTATGAAAGGTCATCATAAAATTTAATTAGAAAAGGTTCTTGGTTGTGACATGGTGGTGGTGTCCCTACCTCTGAGTTGGGAGACACAGGTTCAAATCACCCTGCTCCCAAGGTGTGTAATAACATCTCTGATCAAGTTGATGAGAAATATTGTAAATTTAATTGTTTGTGTGACTTTTGATTAAAGCCCCCCACTACAGCTGTACTCCAGATCTGCCTCAAAGTATTTTTCTAATGTTTAGTGAGTTAAAATGAAACAATTTCTATTTTTGCAGCCTTTTATGTGTCTTCAGTACATTCCCAAACATTTCATGTGTGTACAAATGTGAGAGACAATCGGTCCATGGTAATATCTGGCAAAGAGTCATGAGATAAATGACAAGTTCACCTATTTTTAAAGGTAGTCATTGGCAGGTAAATGATTATTGGTCAGACACCAAGATAACTGTCCAGCTTACTACATATAGTGCCATACTATTCCCCATGTTCTTTTAAATAGCTTGATGGAACCTCAGTATAACATCTCAATTGAAAGCTGGTACTTGCAAAAATGCAGTGCCTGCTCCAGTGCAGAAATTATTTCTTTTTGCAGGCTCCTCTTTAGATTTTCTTGAAGGCTACTTTTTGATTTTCAGGAGCTTAGAATCGTAAAATCATACAGTACAGAAGAGGCCTTCAGGCCATTGAGTCTGAAATGACAAAAATAAACTGCGACCTCGAACAATCCCAATTTCTTGCACCTTTCTCATTCATTTTCACTAACTAATTTTTAGGTGAGGCAGTCACATTGTAACATTACTTTATGTATTTGTGTTGATGTATGGGATATTTGGAGAAGCACTTATCAATATTCTGAATATTTATTAATTCTCCAATAAGTTTGCATTAACAACACAAAAAAGAAAGCACTGATTTCCTTGAGACCACAGTGTTTAATTTTGCACAAAACCACAATCCCCAAGTTAGCGAAAAAGATTTTCTTTAAAATAGAGGGCATGCAGATGCACAAACAGCCATCACTCTAAACACATCATTAGCGAGGTCACAAATAAAGCATTTCATCATATATTTACAAAACAGAAATATTTTCACCAGCATGTATGAACCTTTTTGCTGCAACTTAGGTCCCAATGTCAGATTTAAATTTGACAGTTGATGGAGTATTTATTATTGTAGCATTCACTGAATTTTCCCCATGCAGTAGGTCATATACAGCCTTAAAATAGAGATTTCAATTTCATTTGCAAATAATTCATTAGTTCGTGATTTCAAATTTTCCTAGCTCCCAGTTAGCGGAGTGTCCATTTGTTGACAGCTGTAAAATGGTCCCTCTTCTCTGGAGTCTTGATTCCACCTTGACACACGGCATGTCTCTTTATCCCATACACCCCCACAAACTCCATCTCCCCACCAACTGCCATAAGTTTCAGCCCCCCTTTCTCTTTCACATGCCAAACAATCTCCCTCTCTTGCTCTCTAAACTGTCTCTCTCTAATCTCTCTCTCTCTCTCGCACTCTCTAATCTCTCTCTCATTCTCTAATCTCTCTCTCTCACTCTCGCTCTTGTTCTTGCTCTCTGTCTCCCTGTCTCTCCCACCCTTGCTCTCTTTCTCACTCTCTCTCTCCATCTCTCCCCCCACCACAGCTTCCAGCCGTTATCTCGCTCCCAATTTCTTGCATCTGCCATGTCTATCTCCCAGTCTCTTGCAGTCACCACTCCTGTGTACTTTGATCTTTCAGTGCTTCAATCAAGTTTCAGCCCAGATTGTGTTCTTACGGTCTGGAGTGGGGATTGATTGACCTTTCGATTTGGGTCAGAATGTGACTTCACAGGAAATAAACAGTTTACAGATGGATATTAATAGGCCAGGAGAATGAGCCAGACTCTAGCAGGTGGAGTTTAATATTGATAAGTGAAAGGTTATTCATTCTGGCCAGAAAAATAAAAGGTCAAATTATTATTTAAATGGGAAGCAGATTCAAAGTGCATCTGTGCAGATAAACTGGGTGTCCTCATGCATGAATAGCTGAAAGTGGGTATGCAGATGCAGCATATAATAAGAAAGGCAAATGGAATCTTGGCATTTATTGTAAAAGGACTCGATGAAACAATAAAGAAGTGCTTTACAATTATGCAAGGCATTGGCGAGATCACTCCTGGACTATTGTGTCCAGTTTTGAGGAAGGATGTGGTGGCATTGGATACAGTTCAGAGAAGGTTCACCAGATTGATTGCAGGGCTGAAAGTGCTGTCGTATGCCTGCTCAGAATCTGCACAGTTAGAAGTCACACGAACCAGGTTATCATCCGACAGGTCCAACAGTGACTTCACCTGATGAAGGAGCAGCACTCCGAAAGCTTGTGATTTTAAATAAACCTGTTGGACTGTAACTTGGTGTTGTGTGACTTCTGACTTTGTCCATCCCACGTCTGACACCAGCATCTCCACATCACAATCTACACGGCACAAGTCAGGAGTTTGATGGTGTTCTCTCCATTTGCTTGGATGAGTGCAACTTCAGCAGCACTCGTCAGCATCTAGGATAAAGCAGCCCACTGAATATCAGTATAACCACTGTTGTGGGTAAATCACTGCAAGCTACCTTTAACTTAGTGGTGAAGAAGGTATTTGGCATACTTGTCTTCTTTGGTCAGAGCATGGAGTATAGGAGTTGAGATGTCATATTATAGCTGTACAAGACATTGGTGAGGCCACACTTAGAGTACTGCAGACAATTCTGGTCGCCCTGCTGTAGGAAGGGGTTTATTAAACTAGAAGGGCTGCAAAAAAGATTTACAAGGATGTTAACAACACCAGAGGGCTTGAGTTATAATGAGAGGGTGGTTAGGCTGGGACTCTTTTCCCTAGAGCGTGGAGGCTGAGGGGGGACCTTATAAATGTTTATAACATCATGAAAGACATAGATAAGGTGAATAGCCGAGGTCTTTTCCCCGGGGTAGGGAGTCCAAAAATGGAGGGTATGGGTTTAAGGTGAGAGAGGAAAGGTTTAAAAAGAATCTGAGAAACAACTTTTTTTTAACACAGAGGGTGGTGCATGTACTTGCTGGAATTTGGAAGAATGAGGGGCATCTGATTGAGTTATATAAAAAGCTAAAGAGAATAGATAAGGTGGATGTTGAACACGCACGCCCCCACCCTGCCTCTGGAACAGTTTAGAACAAGAGATCATAGATATAGAGTGAGAGGAGGTATGTTCAGAACTGAAATGTGGAGAAACTAATTCTCTCAGAGGGTTGTGAATCTGTGGAAGTCACTGCCCCGGAGTACAATAGATGCAGAATCAATCAATAGATACATGAAAGAAATAGATATGTTTCTGATAAAAAGTGGGATAAAGGGCTCTGGGGAACAGGCAGGAAAGTGGAGTTGAGACCAGGATAGGATCAGTCATGGTTATATGGCAGAACAGGCTCAAAGGGCTGAATCGCCAACTCCTGCTTCTAATTCCTATGTTCCTAATATTACTCTTGGTATAAAATAAACACCACATCATGCTGTGGTGCTTTGCTGAATTGTTTAGAATTTCTGTTTGTATAAACTGTAGGAAGAACTGAAATAACTCTTCAGAGGCAGTTATCCCATTACCAGACACCCTTTATTTACAAATGCTTAGCCTTTGGCAATAGCACTGCCTCTCACTGAGTCAATAATTCAGGGGGCAAGTCGTCCTGACATTTACCCATTTATGTCAGCCAGGTCTCCCTGATTGGTCATGATTAACAGCCCGAACAGGAAACTCATATTCTATGAGGGCCAACTGACTGACCTCGCTACAATCTCTACAAGGACGACCAACAAAATTTCTGGAAAGAAACTTGCACCAGCTCGTCCTGCTGTGTCTGATCTATAACAGTGTCCATTAAGTGTTCCTGGACAATCCAGATTTCAGGGTCCTGAGTGATCAGTTGTAAAGATGGCAGAGTTAGACAACTCAGTCGACCCATTCCTACACATGATACTAAAATTAACCATTATCAGTGTGATTGTAATTAGAGTTGCAGAGATGTGTAGCACGGAAACAGACCCTTCTGTCCAACTCATTCATACCGACCAGATACCCTAAATTAATCTAGTCCCATTTGCCAGCATTTGTCCCATATCCCTCTAAACCCTTCCTATTCATATACCATCCAGATGCCTTTTAAATGTTGCAGTTGTACCTGCCTCCACCACTTCCTCTGGCAGCTCATTCCTTACATGCACCACCCTCTGTGTGAAAAGATTGCCTCTTAGGTCCCTTTCAAATATTTCTCCTCTCACCTTAAAACTATTCTGTCTAGTTCTGGACTCCCTACCCTGGGAAAAGACCTTGATTATTCACCCTAGCCATGCCTCTCATGATTTTATAAATTTCCCTAAGGTCACCATTCAGCCTCTGACGCTCCAGGGAAAATAGCCCCAGGTTATTCAGCCTCTCCCTATAGGTCAAACCCTCCAACCCTGGCAATATCCTTGTAAATATTTTCTGAACCCTTTCAAGTTTAGCAATATCTTTCCTACAGCAGGGCGACTCGAATTGAATGCAGTATTCCAAAAGTGGCCTAACCAATGTTCTTTACAGCTACATGACCTCCCAACTCCTGTACACAATGCACTGACCAATAAAGACCAATAAAGTCTTCTTCACTACCCTGTATACCTGCAACTTCACTTTCAAGGAACTATGAACCTGCAGTCCAAGGCCTCTTTGTTCGGCAGCACTCCCTAGAACCTTATCATGAACTTTATAAGTGCTGCCCTGATTTGCCCCACCAAAATGTAACACCTCACACTTATCTAGATTAAACTCCATCTGTTACTAATTGTCCCATTGGCCCATCTGATCAAGGTCCTATTGTACTCTGAGGTAACCTTCTCCGCTATCCACTGCACCACCAATTTTGGTGTCATCTGCAAACTTACTAACCGTACCTCCAATGTTCACATCCAAATCATTTATGTAAATGATAAAAAGCAGTGGAACCTACACCAAACCTTGTGGCACACTGGTGGTCACAGGCCTCCAGTCTGAAAAGCAACCCTGCTCTATTTTAAACAAAAGGTGTAAACAGAAAAAACCAAGACCACCCGACACTGCCCTTATCAGACACATCCTGGACAGACAGCACCGCGTGAAACACAGAGCAAAGCCCACTCTGCTCTTTCAAAACAGAAAATAAAGCTTCTTTGACTTTATGAAACAAAACTAAAGACCCCATTACTTTGGGAAAAGCGAAAATAAATAAACAAACAAAAAATGGCTGTCCTTTGACTCTGTCCCCACCAACCTCTTTTGGGCAGGGACCACAGGGGGCCAAAATAAAAATAAACTCAAGCAAAATCAAACAAATTAATGAACAACTAAATAAATAAATCCCCTCGATTTTGTCCTCATCGAACACTCCTGGGACAGGGACAACAATGATTTAAAATGCTGAGGAAGTTCGACTACGCATTTCAACTAAAAGTAAAATTCACCTCACACCAACCCACATCAAGCACATCTGGGACAGGGACAGTATGGGCTAAAATAAAAACCCCCCTTGGCTCTTCCAAGGGGTTCAAAATCAAAACAAAGGGAAAATAAAACACCCTTCTTTCTAGGGCACCAAACTGAAAACAAACGCAAACTCAAAAGGCAACATGGAAACTTATACCACAGTAACTCAATCAGAATATCATTATGTAGGCTGTTAATGCACTCCAGTCCCCATGGCACTCAGTAGTCTCAAAAGGCCCTGTCCATGCCAGTGAGCCCTGTGTATTCCCTCTCCAGGGACAACTGAGTGTGGATGTAACCGTGAAAGAGGGGCAGACAGTCAGAAATGATAAGCCCCTCTTTGGCCCACTGCTTGGACCTGTTACTGGCCATTTTGGCCAGTGCAGGAGAAAAGCCACGAGAAGGTTCATAAACTTATCCACCCCTGCATGCACCAGGTGTCTGTAGATCAGGAGTGTGGGACTGAAGTGCAACCAAAATTTTAACAGCAGCCCCTTCCAAAAGCTAAAAAGGGGCTGCAGATGAATGCACCCGCCATAAATGTGAAACACCATCTCCTGCAGGCCTCAGAAACTGCACACGGTCGGGCAACTGGTAAATGTACTCAGTTGCTGGGTGCACGGAATCGCTGCACGCAGTAATCTCGACCCCAGATCCAGATGTGAGAGAGGGGGGAACCCTGCACAGAGTGCCCTCCACTGGGGATCTCCGCTGCCGGAGGGAAAAACATGACAACAAGGCAGGTCCGGGCATCGACTAAAGGCACGGCAGTGGGCAGCATCAACCTGTACAAATAATGCCTCCGTGCTGTTTGAAAGGCAACAGGAGATATCCCTGAGACGGCTCACATTGTGGGCCACCACATCACAGGGTCGAGTCTGGCGCTGGGCCGACAACAAGTTCCAGACGAACAGGGGTCAGTTTGTCCGGAAGCCCACCGCACACCTGAGCCACCTCGAGGTGTCAGGTCCGAGTGCCTTGTCCATCAGGCTCTGGGTGGCTCGGGTCACAAACCGGAGGTGGACCAATGCCCTCACAGTCAACTGTGCCCAGTCCACTCCTCTGCCATCTAGTGTGTCCCTGACTCTGATCAGCCCTGCATCCCAAGCTCTGCCCTCGGCCAGCACATACCACACTCAAGGAGGAACCTGTTCCTGGGCAGCAGCTCCCTGATGAGAACCGCCATTCCCACAGCGGGAGAGCTCCAGCACAATCTAACTGTGTCCCAGACCGTGACCAGGTCCAGATAGAAGACAGGTGATTTGTGGAAGCAGACCCGAGGCTGGGACCACTGCAGAGCTGAAGGTGGAAAGTTGCTACCTGGGTGCAAAGGTACACCAGCACCTGACTACCATCCTCAAGCAGGAGACTCTGAACTACAGCAGCGACCCAGTGTTTTCTCTTGTCCCAGAGAAACTCAATGAGCTTTTTCTGGATGGCGCTGACAAAGCCACCAGGAGGAGGGCGCAAAGCGACCACAACATAGCGGCTACCAGTTCCACACTCCTGATCTATGGACACCCAGTGCAGGGATGGGTGGATAAGTTTATGAACCTTCTCGTGGCTTTTCTCCTGGGCCTGGCCAAGATGGCCATTAACAGGTCCAAGCAGCGGGCCAAAGAGGGGCTTATCGTTTCTGACTGTCTGCCTCTGTTTCACGATTACAAGCACTCATGCCCTTTCAAGGCAACCATCCACCACCACCCTCTGTCTCCTACCTTTGAGCTAATTTTGTATCCAAACGGCTAGTTCTGCCTGTATTCCATGTGGTGTAACCTTGTTAACCAGTCGACCACATTCAACCTTGTTGAAGTCCATAATTAAGGAACATGATATAAAAGTATGGTTAGTTAATCCAGGAATATTATCAGAATTAAAAGATAAACTTAGTGATTTTTCCAGAGTTATCATTGCAGTTTCTGCTGTATGAGAAATAGTAAAACAATTTCTGTAGCAATGTGAACATTAACATACTATTTGCATCTTAATTTCAATTCAAAACTTTTTCTGAGCTTCATATTCAGAAATGATGCACAGATTAATGCAATTGCCATGCACTATTGATTGTTCACATTTTAGGAAATTTTCAAAATGCTTAAATAACTAACATTGATAAAAATGATTGCTTGCATGTCTCATAAATAGTTTGGGAGAATGATTTGTTGTGTTTGCAGCTGATGGTAATCAGACAGATCTGAGCGTGAAAGTTGAGAAACCATGTGTTTTATTTTTGTAGTCTGGTTACTGTGGTGGGCAGTCACTGAACAAATTCACATGAGGCTACCAGTGCCCTTTTAAAAACATAACACAAGCTCATTACACAAAAGAAGAAAAATGGAAAGATTGTCGGAGTCAACAAAAACAAAGAATCAACCTTTTTCTCAGCAATCTTATTTACAGATACTCAATCCCAGTGAAGCATCAGAGCCATCTTCACTCTGTAATTTCTTACTCAACTGATATGATGGCAAGTGTTTTCTTTAAGTGCATTTCTGCATATTGAACAGATGTGATTCTCTAGTTCTCTTTCAAAACATACAACAGACAGGTGAACTCACTGACTTTTCCTCGCTTTTCAAAGAAAAGTTCAATGTTTCTTTCAGCTCTTGTCTACTTGAATTGCTAAAACAACTGTGATGGCCTGAGGTTTTCCCGAAACTAAACTGCCCTTCTGCTTTTCACTGAATTCAAGTTGCTTCTGGCCTTTGGCCTCTTTCGTCTCTTTCTATTAATATAGAAACTCAGCTTTATAAACACCTCATCTACCCTTTAGGTTTGTAAGACCATAAGACATAGGAGCAGAAATTAGGCCATTCGGCCCATCGAGTCTGCTCCACCATTCAATCATGGCTGATTCAATCATTATCAAGTACTTAGTGAGCAATTATCTCCCCAGGTAATTTTTCTTATCATTTAGCTTAAGTCACATACTGTCTTGGAAATGATGTTTTGAACTCACTTTTCATAATTATTTTCTGACCTTTTTTTAAAGAAGTCACCCTCACAAATCAAAAACCAATTTCCCTTACTTCAGAATTTCCAAATAATAATGATATATTGCAAACCTACATCATTGTTTCAGGCTGGAAGTAAGAAGTCTTGGGTTTATCTGAAACATTCTAAGGTTAGGTATATGACAGATTGTACTGTGGATGGGCCAAAGGGCCTCGCTGTACTGTATGATTCCATGATCCTATGAAGTTATTTATGCATTAAAACATAGAGAAAGATTTAGAGAAAAAAAAACTTTATGACACAGAAGAAATTCATTTCAGTCTAATCTGTTCCTTCTGTTTTCAGAGTGGAAGAGAATTTTTGAAGGTAAGATTTTATTTTGATAACACAGAATGAAAAAGAATTAATCCAAACAAAAATTTACAAACAGCTTCAAAAAATGTTGAAGAATAGTCTTTAATAAAAACCCATCCAGAGGCTGCTGCTTCAGCGCATTCAAACAACTTCAATTCCTTTTCATTACATTGGATTTCAAGTTTTTGAATTGCTGTTTTGAGATCTGGTTCCACATGTTCGTTTGTTTTAAGTCTTTTCCAAAAACAATAAGTGCCAATGGGAGAGACCTTGGAAATGAGCTTGTTGTGACTGATGCAGTTTCTCAGTGTTATAATTTCAGGAAAGCACTCAAATGGATGAAAGTATTGTTTATTTCCGTGCTTGATTTAGAAACTTTGAATGGGAAAAATGGCATGTTGGTATAAAATTTATTTTCTGATGGAGTCCATGAGCCTGTACCTTGGGGAATGTGTTTCTTGAACACAATCTGCTGACTTTCCCAATATTTTGAAGCATGTTGTGTGTAGTGATTGGAACCTGGTGGACCTCATTAACTATGAGGTCCTTGATTGGCAATGTTAACCTGGGCCAATCAGGAAAGCCTTGGCTGACCAATATAACCAGGAGATTAGAATCTCCTCCTTTGAGGGTTGACTCCAAGCTGACTGGCCACAGCCAGTGTACTGTGCATGAGTAAATAAAGGGTGACTTGGTGACAGGACACTGGACTCTGTGCAGTTGTTTCAGTGGCAATGGGAGAAAACAGGATGTGCCTGAAGAACATTCACTTCCAACTGTCATCTTGGAGCTGGGGTAAGCATTCCTGGCATCATACCACTATTTGGGAAGCCTGACTTGTTTGACCCTGTTGTTGAAGACTGGACCCAGTGTGTGGAAAGAATGTAATGTTTTTTCCAGGCGAATGACATTGGGGCAGATGAAAAGCAACAAATAATCCTTCTGACTGCATGTGGACCCACGCATTTTCAGTTATAAGGGGTTTAACTTTACCAGAGGCACCAGACACTAAAACCTTCCAAAAGTTGACGGAGCTGGTTTAGCAATATTACAACCCAAACCTCCTCTAATCCTGAAATGCTATTGGTTTTCCTCAGCTGTAAGAGAACTGGGGGCTTATGTCTTAGGATTTTTGAGGAGCTCATGATGACTGGCAGAGGCATGTGATTTTGGGTTAACCCTGAATGAGATGTCGAGAGACTGTATGGTATGTGGGATTAATGAGGTAACCATGCAGAAGCGCCTACTAGCTGAAGCCCAACTGAACTTCAAATAGACACCACAGCTGACCTTGTTATTAAAAAATGCTGCAAGTGGAACATGGGAACTACAGGACATCATGATGGAAGTGGATACTATCACCTGTCCAACTGAGCTTGGGGAACACCACTTGAGAGTAGGCAATCGCAAAGCCTTACACAGGGCATATCCTAAGCAGAGGGACCCAGGGCCAGCCCATCGCAGCACCCCACAACAAAGCCAAGGCTTGGCCAATTGACTAAACAGTTCTTCAGGATCTGGGACAGTGAACCATTGTCGTTGCTGCTGCTATGTGGACTCGAGACATCAAAGGAATCCTACAAGGCCTGAGTTAAGTAAGAAAACCCATAGACCAGTACTCAGGAGAGTGCACACCCTGGAAAGTCACCCGATAACGTGGGATGGAACAGTTAAATTGCTTAGTTACACCGAAATCGAAACAGATTAAAAGTAATGTTTGGCTAAATGGTCACCCAGTTCCCATGGAATTCGATACCTGTGTAGTTGTATCTGTGGTTGCAGAATCTGTCTTTGACAAGAATCTGTCTTTGCGCGAGAACTCAGCCAGATTGAGAGCATACACTGGGGAACTGTTGCAGATTAAGGGTAGGACTTCAGTTCCAGTCTCCTGTGAGAAGCAGTTGGTGCAGTTACCACTGATGGTGGTAAGAAGCTCAGGCCCAAGCCAATTGGGGTGAAATTGGTTGAGAAAGTTTCATCCAGACTGGCTAAACATTTTCAGTTGGAAAATGGCTGCCAGAGTGAAGTCCTAGTGAAATACCCAGGTGTATTTCAGCAAGGGCTTGGGACTATCAAAGGGACTAAAGCCAGTTCGCAGAATGGGCATCACTGGTCGTATCAATTGTGAAGCCTGACTGTTCGGTTCACCTTTGTGGGTATTTTAAGCAAACAGTAAACCGTTTCTCACAGCTGGTTAAATACCTGATCCCTCACATAGAGGACTTGTACATAAAATTGGCATGGGGGCGGTGGGGTGCTGTCCTTTACAAAGCTGGACATGAGCCACACCTACCTGCAATTGCAACTGGATGAGGGGTCGCAGAATGCTGCCATAATCAATACCCATAAGGGTTTATATCAATATACAAGACTGCCATTTGAGGTATCATCAGTCTGTGCCCTTTTCCAGCGGACCGTGGAGAATATTTTACAAGGTCTACCCCAGGATGCCATTCATCTGCATGACGTACAACTAGCAGGGATGACCAGTAAACAGCACATGGATAACTTGGAAGTGGTGCTGAAATGTTTCTCCCAGGCAGGCATACGCCTTAGAGGGAAAAACGTGTGTTCCAGGTGCCCCAAGTGACCTACTTGGGTGACAGATTCAGTAAAACCGGTTTACACCCGTTGGAAGAGAAAGTGAGGGTGATCAAAGGAGCCCCCGCTCCCATTTCTGTACCAGAACGTAGGTCTTTCCTTGGGTTCATGAATTATTACAGAAAATTCTTACTTAACCCAGCCTCCATCTTGGCAACCTGCTGTTGAAAAAGGGTAAGCCTTGGAAATGGTCACGTAGCCAAGAAGCAGCCTGTACGGAAGTGAAAGAGCAGCTGTCATTGTCTAAGCTGTTGGCCCACGACGATCTGAAGCGAGAAGTCGAGCTGACATGTGATGCCTTCCCGTGTGGTATCAGGGTGGTGTTGGCTCACCGGTGGCCCGAGGAAGAGGAACAACCAATAGCATATGCTTCCTACAACTTTGGCTGATGCCGAACACAAGTATGCCCAGATAGAGAAGGAAAGTTTGACGCTTATCTTTGGTGTGAGGAAATTCCACCAATACTTTTACAGACGAGAATTTATCATAGTAACAGATCACGAACCTCTGCTAGGGCTACTGAAAGAAGACAAGGCAGTGCTGCCCATAGTTTCCAGTCGAATTCAGTGTTGGGCCATTATTCTCAGCCTGTACAAGTCAGATTACTCTCCAGGAAGCTGCGTGGCTAATACAGACACATTGAGCTGCCTCCCACTGGCAGATACTCCACCATGGTCCCTCCCATAGAAGGGGAGGTATTAAACTTTCTAGACACCCTTCTAGTCACTGCGGACAATATCCAACTGTGGACTCAAAAAGATCCTAAAACAGCTGGTGGTAATAGAGGAAACAGAAGGGCCGACGCAACTTGGATTGAAATGTTTTTGGAGCCGTCAAGATCACCATAGAGGACAGCATTTTACTGTGGGGAGCAAGGTGATTGTCCCGGTAAAGGTCACTGCCAGATACTGGCCGAACTCAACCACGTCATCCAGGGGTTTCCAAGATGAAGATACTGGCAAGAAGCTTTACCTGGTGGCCAGAGTTGGATGTTGACATAGCTGTGTTGGTGGGGCAGTACCCAGTGTGCCAACAAGGAGAAAATTTGCCACCAGCAGCACCCCACATTCATGGGAATGCCCGGGTAAACCCTGTACTCAGTTGCATGTTGACTATGCCAGTGCTTCATGGGCTCAATGTTCCTGGTCATTGCTGACGCCCATTCAAAGTGGTTAGACATGCATAAAATTCATTCAGCAATCTCAGGGATGACGATTGAGAAGTTACGAGTATTGTTCACGATACACAGACTCCCAGAAGTATTGGTCACACAATGGGACGTCATTTACCAGCAGGAAATTCAAATATTTCCTAAAGTCTATTAGCATTCAGCATATAAGGACAGCTCCATACCATCCATCGTCCAATGGTCTTGTGGAAAGAACAATCCGAACATTGAAGGTAGGTTTAAAAAAGCAGCCTCCAGCATCAATTGAAACCAAACTGTCCCGGTTCCTGTTCAGTTGTAGGATCACCCTACATGCAACAACAGGGATAGGTCCGGCAGAATTCCCAATGGGGAGAAGACACTGATATTTCGAGACCTGGGATGGGACGATGAAACAGCAGCAGAATTGCCAATGCCGGCCAAATGCCTCCCCTAATCAAGAGAGACAATTTAATTCAGGGGATGAAGTCTGGTGCTGGAACCATGGAAATGGCCCTGTGTGAATACAAGGTGAAGTTGACATGAGGTCAGGTCCTGTGACATACAAAGTCCGGAGAGGTGATTCAGCCCTGAACAAACACGCTAATCACCTGAAAGCCGTTACCTCGTATGTGGAGCAGGAGAAAAACATACACGGCCACTCAAAACAGCCAGAAGGCCCGGCAGAAACCGCAGGTGCTCCCCCTCTGTCTCGTGTCGAGGAAACCGCAAGAGTCCGAAATGGATGCAGCCTCGATACTGTTGCCGCCGGAAGAAGAGGAAGAGATTCTTCCGAGACATTCTGGATGCAAGAGATGGGCCACTGTCCAGTACACGCTGCCTGTGTCTGAGTCTGAATTGGAGGAACCGGACCTGGGGCGAATGTATTACAAGAGAAGCTACAAGCGAAAGACCAAGCCTACTTCCCTGGACTTCGCGGGGGAGAGATGCAGTGATTGAGACCAGGATGATCTCATTAACCACGAGGTTGGGCCAGGTTAACAATCCCAAACAGGAAAGCCTTGGCTGACCAGTCTAACCAGAGGATTAGAATTTCCTTAGTTGAGGGTTGACTTCGAGCTGGCAGGCCACAATCAGTGTACTGTGCTCTCGTAAATAAAGGATGATTGGGTGACAGGAACCAGCTTCTATGCAGTTATTTCACTGTGGTTCTTCACCTGTCTTGGTTCTTACCAATAGTTTTTCATTCTGTTTTCCTGCTGTTGGAAAATAAGTCAAATGGTACAATGTTACCACTTTTCACTCCCGTTTGCTCTCATGGCCCTACTCATACAATCCATGAGCAATACCTTCA